TGTTTATATTGTATTCAACAATTATGTCTTCTTCCAACATTTCGTCCGTGTCGAATCAATCAAACCATATTTCAAAAAGCTAATGGAATTAATCAAATTCTAGCATTCATTCGTCGATCAAATAAAGATAGACTTCTTCAAGCTAAAGCAATAACAACTATTGCTTATGTTATATTTGGTATATTTAAATAGAATATTTCCCTTAATTAATTTTCTCAATTATAGATCATAAAGAAAATAAAGAAATATTAACAACGGTAGAGGTTAAACAATTATTTATACGTATTGCATCATTACTTAATGCTGCCGATGAAAATATTCGTATTGAAGCTGGAGCTGGGTATATAAAACAATATCAATAAGAATCAAAAAAAAAATCTTTATATATTTAGATTAGTTACTTTTATTTGTAATGATATTAATTATTATACTCTTTGTTCCGAAGAACTATCACTTGATCCTGAACATTTTCAAGAATTATTAACATCAGAAAATATTCCTGTTCGTTGTAATGCAGCATTTCAAGTAGTATTTGACTTAAGCATACAAATATAATCATATATATTTTTAGATGATTATTGTAATTCGTCTTATAAATGATAGAACTGCAGCGGAATGGATTGGTCGAGCATTAATGATTTTATTTCGAGTTATTAGTAATAAACGTATTGATGATGAAGAAAAAATTTTACCAACTGATATTATTGGTCGATTAGCACATATACCTACAGGTTCTTTTCTTCAAATAATTAAAATATGATAATTTAATAAAATTATTTAAGGTTTCGGATTACATAAACATTCAGGTTTGAAAATCTGATTCGTATAATTGCATGAAGAATGAATAACAAACTATTTGCATGTTTTTAGTTTCTTCTCCTTGAAAAGTGAAGATTTTGTTTTTTTTCAATTAAATAAAAAGATTTCACTGTTTTTCTTTTTCTTTATTAAATAGGTGTATGTGAAGCAATTATTGCTAGTGATGGTCTTGAACATTTGATTTCACTATTAAATAGTTTAAATATACTTTTACATGGTAATGCAGCTGTAACGATCGATTGTCTTGTACAACATTCATCAGAAGGACAACGACGATTATTAAAACAGTATGTTATTTATTTTTAATTATTCATAGAAGTAAAGTTTGAATTATTTTAATTAGATGTCGTATTCATACACATTATCTGAATGTTTTACAAATGTATACATGTAGACCATCAGCATTAAGAACAAGAATCGATGAGTTATATTCATCAATTCATAATGAACAAGTATATTTCCCTCCGATTCGAACAACACGACAACGTCGAAGTGTACCAACAACGTAAAAAACAAACGGATAATAATGAAATATACAGATTTTTCTTTTATGTATAATAAATAATTTAACTTCTCAGTGAATTAATGAATAATAAAAAAAAAGAAGATTCTCAAAGATTTAATTGAAATAGGCAGTGTCGAATATACCAGTCAAATGATTTCAGTACACAGACAACGAGTAAAAGATCATGTCTTAATTAAATCTTAAACTAAAGATTTTATGGTATATCGCATATTAATAATTAATGAACTGTGTCATTTTAAACATGATATACTCTTTATTGTAATAAGACTGAGAGCGGATGAGTAGTACTGTGTCGAAGATAGTCATTACAATAAACTTTCTCTCATGAAGAATAGAAAAACTACAAAGAAGAAAATCTAAATCCATTGTTTTTAGTTTATCGATGAAGCGTGATCAAGTTGATATTTTCTAAAGCAAAATATAACTAATGCATCTTAATTATATGATACATCATAGAACTAAGAACTCATTTCTTATCTTACATTAAAATAGTTTTCAACAAAGGATATCGAACAGTTTTATTTTAAGAAAATTTCTTCCTTACTTTGTTCAAAAATTAACAAATGCTTGAACAACTCATTAAAAAACATGTAGTGTATCTATTTAACACGACATTTAAAAACATCAATCTAGTTATTTTCTGAAGCAAGGTTACCAGTTGTTTTATTTTTAAAAATACTTTGCACTAACAAAAGTACAATAAATAAATTCTATAATGCTATTCGACTAGAATCAATTAGTTTTTTTCTTTTTCCACCCTCTCATTTATTTATTAAAATATTAACGCTATTCTGTTTCATCTTTTTTATGTAAAATTGATGTCATGTTTTTATTTTTCCCGTTCTAAATATATAAGCAAATACGTCCTTTAAGTATTAGTTAGACACTATTATATGCGCTACGTTAATCTTTCGAAAATTATTTACCATTATAAGAATATTTTCTTTTATGATCTCTTAATATTATAACACATTTTTTGTTATAATACATAAAATTTAAGATGGATAAGTTGTATCTTGATATTAGCAGACTGATTTACCTTTTGCTTTTGCAACTTGTAATTAACTCACACTAGTTAGAAAAAGAATTCTTTGAATTTATTCTACATATTATTGTAAATGCAATAATAAGTAGTTATGGATATCTTCGTTTTATCTTACACTCGTATCCTATAGTTAGCATTCTTTCGCATAATATATACATTATAAGTAAGAGATATTTAAGACTTATTAACATGTTTTGATGTAAGTAATTCTATCTTCATTTCATTCTTCAGAGTAAAATATTCTTATTTCGATAATATGTCTTCATCAAATGCTACTATTTTAAGTGAAATTAATACACTTAATCGTATGAGTAGTCAACTTACAATTTGGGGAGATGTCGTATTCTTTATATTTGGTATTAGTGGTAATTTATTAAATATTTATGTTTTTACACAACGATCTTTAAGAAGAAATCCATGTGCAATGTATTTTCTATCATCAACAATAGCATGTTCTATATTTTATTTTGTTAGTATGCCTTTTCGAATACTTCAATATGGATTCAATATTGATCCAACTTATTATTTATTGGGATTTTGTAAAACAGAATATTATATCACATTTCCAACGAGGTAAGATATTTTAATCAAAGTTTCATTTTTGTTTCAAATATATATATTATTAGAGCATTAGCATCGTGGTTTCTTGTTCTTGCTTGTATAGATCGGTAAGCAAATTTGTGGATGTTAGATTTCATTAAAATTATTTTCATTTCTTTTAGATTTCTACGCAGTTCACCCAATATTACTTATCGACAATGGAGTAGTTTTAAAGTTGCTTCCTATACAATTCCAATTACGATTCTATTAGTTTTTATAGGTTATATACATATACCTATTTTTTATACAATCAATGGAATTCCACCTATATGTGCTGGTCAACCAGGTTTTTATAGAATATTTCTTGGTTTTTGGCATGTAATTATTTATGGATCAGGACCTCCCTTTCTTATGTTTGTCTTTTCTGTTCTTACTATTCGACATGTTAAACATCGAAGAATAGCTCCTTCTATAAATCAAGTAAATCAAGGTGAAAGGACTTTGTATAAAGAAAAAGGTTTGCTTCGTATGGCTTTAGTTCAATGTTTATGTATTGGTTTAACTACAACTTTATTTTCAATTAGTCAGCTATATGTTTCAATAACAACAGGTTATGCAAAAAGTAATCGTCAATTAGCAAAAGAGAATTTATTTCTAGTACTTGGTGGACTTATTTCAACCGGTGGTCATGGTACAACATTCTACTTATATACAGCAACAAGTCGAATGTTTAGACAACATTTATTTCATGGACGTCATGCAAGGTTATAGAAAGAAAAGATGATATAGAATAGTAGTTCTTATAAAGCTACTTCATTGTATATATTAACTAACCTTTTTTTAACAATAAATTATCTGGATATTTTTGTTAGTCATATTCAATTATTATGATCTGTCATAGGTTATGCATAAAATATATCAAGATTAAGAAATTGTTTTTTTTTTTCTAACTGACTAAACTTTCTGTAGATCAAAACTTTGATTAGAATGTGGTTGGACGAGAAAATTATTTCGTGAAATGTCTCATCACAATCAAATACTTCTATGGTTTATCTCGTCTTGAAAAAATATTTCTTTTTAAAACTGAATCGATTTTGATGACACTCTTACTGTATCATTCTGATCTTTGAATATTTTCAGTAATTATTATAAATAGTTTGATTATTTTTTTATTTATAATAAATCAAATTTGACAAGAAAACAAATGAAATATTTCTAATTGTTGTAAATAATCAAATGATGCTTGAAAATATTGTACTTTTGGATGAAATAATTGTTCTTTTAAGACATGAAAGATAATGGCTTGCTTGGTAATGACTGAAATTATCCACGTCACAATCTCAATGTTGAACCGAACAATAAGTATTGTAAGGCAATACTCTCTACCAATAGAAAGCAGCGTGTAGGTGTGGCTATCATATGCGTTTCATAAATCTGAAAACTGCCAATTAAAAGATAAACACTTACTTAGCGAGATAAATAATTCTGAGTACTCGTTGTATTGTTTATTGCGCTAACAAATGTGAATGTTCTTCTCTAGAAATTAATTTTATTTTTACAGGTGAAAAGTACGATTTTTATAATACTAGCATTCTATGCTTGAGATTAGTATAGAAACTGCGTCGTCCATCGATATCAATTGAAAATCGAATTTACACATCAAAATTCGCCAGATGTAACATATAAATACAAATGCTTCAGGGATACACCAGAAGATACTTTTTTACTGCTTTCTGCGAAAGAAAAATAATTAAGTTTATTTATTGTACTTAGAATTCAATGAGTACACAGTAGCGACTCATAAATAATCTCAAAGCTAAAAACCTTACGTAGAGATTGTTAAGATAAACGGAAATTTTATATTTAAGATTTGTAAATATAACAGGTAAGATGATAAAAAATTTACTTTTTCCTTCAAGTCATTTTTTCTTGCTATAACAAAAATAATTCGTGCTAAATAAAAAATATAATTGATAAATGAGCATATGAAACTGTTTCATGTGTAAATTAAAAGTAATATCATTAGCTCATCAGTAATATGAAATTTAACGGTCGAATTCAATCAATGAAGATATTTTCAGATATTTGCAATATACGACCTGCTATCGCTGGATGCTCTCAGTAAACGTGCCACAGAATGACAAACAAGCTGTCTTTTGAAAGTATCTGAACTAAACAGATAATTCTCGTAATATCTAAAAATGTCTTCATTGATTGAATTCAACGTTAAAGATTTCATATTACTGATGAGTCAATGATATTAATTTTAATTCGCATATGGAACAGGTTTTTATGTTTGTTTATCAATTATATTTTTCATTTAGCATGACTTTATTTTGTCGTAGAAAAAAAAGACAACAAATCACTTGAAGGAAGAAGTAAATTTGTTATGAAAATCTAACAATAAAGAAATCTTTTCATTACAAGTGATTTTGCCATATTCAGTAGATTACCAGAAAAGACATAAATATATTTGTTAGCATCTTGCATGTTACATTTACAACTCTTAAACATAAATGCCCGTTTTTCTTAAAAATCTCTTTGCAAGGTTTTTAGCTTTGAGATTATTTATGAGTTGTTACTGTGTACGCATTGACTTCTAAATATAATAAATAAACCTAATTACTTTTCTTTCACAGACAGTAATGAAAAAGTATCTGCTCGTGTACGTCAGAGGGATTTCCATTTATATGCCATATCCGGCAGCTTTTGACGAGTTAAACTCATTTTCAATTAATGACGATGAAAGACGCAATTTCTATAGCAGCCTCAAGCATATAATGCTCATATTATTATAAAAATTGTTTTTTTACCTGTAAAAATATAATTAATATCTACAGAGGGACTTTCACATTTAATAGTGCCACAAGAAATTCAACGAATACTGAGAATTATTTATTTCACTAAGTAAGTGTTTATGTTTTAATTGATAATTTTACATTTATAAAATACATATAATATCCACACATCATGGCAGAACTAGAAATAGCATTTTAACTTTATAAAAAGCAAAGCTATAGTAATTATAGCATAAAATCACAGAGAATCTTTGAGCTTCGTTTTATCATCAGGGAGAGAAGATTTGGAGAAAATAACGATATTTTATAAACTGAACAAAGGTTATCATAGTCAAAGAATCTGAATCTCTAATTGGTTTTTTGAAGTTAATGGACTTGATATTTGCAGTAATGAAAAGATTTTTCGATAAACGCTAATCAAAGACTTTTGGGCTCACAGATAAAGTTGACAATTTATTTTATGAATAGATTAACTTATTGGTAGTTCAAATCTTTGCACAGAAAAACTAGTTGGTTTTTGATGAATCATGAAAGATCGAGTTTTTTCATGTTGGATACAAGTATCGCGACAGATTAATGCACTAAAAACTGGAAGTTCAT